CACATACTGTCTGTGAGGCCAGTTTGTACTGGAGGAGGGATGTTTATTTCCATTCTGCACTGAGCTGGTTTCCTCTCTGATAGCTATGTGTGTACCTTTTGCTAACTGCATTCAATTTTTTGCAGGTACTGTCAGAAGGTTCTTGGAGATTCATGGGGAGACCCTGGAGAAGGTGGTGTTTGCGGTCTCTGAGCTTGAAGAGGTATTTCCTTGATATTCATTCCACCAAAACTCATGGTTATGTGTAATCTTCTCTTTTGCACCTTGGAGCTGGGCTTGGTTTTTTCTTCAAATTATCTTGTCTCACATGGACTCTTGGAACCTCAGCATTCTTACCTGTCTGTCCAGTATCCTTTCCAATTCTGCTAGTCTTACTTTCAGCAGTTGCCATGGATATTGCCTTTTCCACTTCTGATTTCCATGTTCCCAAGCCATGACAGGAGTCAGAATCGTTCAGTATGCTAGCAGTTATGGCATTGCTTTTCTCATGCTTTAAAATGATCTCAACTTCCAGTTCAGCATGCCTGTAGATAACCCACACTTTTTAAAATATTATTTTTTTAAAAAAAATAATTAAAACCCACAGTTTTTAAAATATTAACCTTGTTGTTAGGACTGTCTGCCTTTATTGCCAGGAGCCCAAAATATAAGACAGCAAGGGAATTAATACTTTGGCTCAAAATCTCAGAGAAAATTGCTGCTACTAGGGCAGGTGATAAATAACTGAAGAGCAAGGATGCGTGATAGACCTTCACACACTTTTCTTATTTGTAGGCCACTTACCAGAAGTTGATGCCTCTGTATTTTCCAAGATCATTGGAGGAAGAAATACAATCCTTGCCTTACCTCCCTGCAGATATTGGCAATGCAGAGGGGGAGCCAGTAGTACCGGAGCGGCAGATCAGGATTACTGAAAAGCCAGGTGTTCCAGATGGTGAGTACTTACCTAAACTTCGGAATAAATATCTAGATGTGAAGGTCAATGAGACAGAAAAAATATGCAGGGAGCAGAGAAATGTCCTTCTTCCCTCACCTAAGACAGGTTGTAATGAAAAGAAACAAGCTGTCTGCTTTTTAGCTGCATGCTTTCTGCAACTGTAGGTTCCGCTCTCTGCCTCATTGCATACAGTACTTAGAGGATGTGGTAGAGATATTGTTCTCTTTTTCTTTTACAAACTCTCTAAAGGTGGTTAAGGCTCTCCCTCCATCCCCACCTCAGCTTTCTACAGGCTGTTACTGAAACAGGCATTATTGTTGTCAATGAACTATCTTAGCGTACGTTAACAAAATGCTGTATGCAGAATCTCCTCGGGCTAGAGATAACATGTATGCTGAACTGGTAAATACTCCAAAGAAACTACTAGAAACTCCCTAAAATGCTGAGAAACTAGGTTGATCTAGAGATCTGTGTTTGGGAAGTGGCTAACAAAACCCAGTGAAAGAAATCCATTTGTTAAAGAGGTCAGGCTTGGGATGGTGAGGAATGAATGGTAAAACACTTGAATAAAGATAAACAGGTATAGCTGGCACATTCTGTTGTCTTCATGTGGCAGTGCTAATGCAAGGTTCACGCTTCTCAAGTGAAGCCCTAAAGCATCAAAAATGGAGAATGTGAAATGCATTTCAAAGATAATCTGATTTTTTACGTGGCCAACTGGGATAGGACTGAATATGCAACAAGGGTACAGAAAATTTCCCTGTTCACTGTGTGATTCCTGATGTACCTGTTCTTCCTATTCAGATTCCAATCTGTTTTCCTTTTTATCTTTAAATTTCTGGCTAGGGTAGTATACGTAACTCTGGCTGGTAAGTGTGAGACATTCAACCATTAACTGATTATGTATGACATTTTAGTTTTCACTACAGGAGCAAAGGGATGGAGTAGAATCCTTTACTCTTGCCCTATTGTTGCTATAGCATGTTGCTGTAATACTGGAAAAGTCAATTCACAGACTTGCACAGAATCACAGAATGGTTGAGGTTGGAAGGGACCTCTAGAGACCATTTAGTCCAACCCCTCTGCTCAATCAGGGACACCTAGAGCACATGGCATAGGGTCACATCCCGGCAGGTTTAGAAGATCTCCAGAGAAGGAGGCTCAACAACTTCTCTGAGCAGCCTGTTCCAGGGCTCTGTCACCCTCACAGTCAAGAAGTTCTTCCTCACAGGGAGGTGGAACTTCCTCCCGTCCCCACTGATCAAAGAGGCAGAGCTAGCAATCTTAACAGTATTTCTTGATGGCATGCAAGTTCAGTGGAGCATTATTGTATTGTCCCAAGCAAGTAGGCACATGCTCTTGTACTTCAGCACACAGTAAGGTTGTGAACAGTACTGTAAAAATGTCCAAACTGAAGTTATCGCCAGCTCTAGAACAGCTGCTCGAGTTATGTCAATTTTAAAGGAAGAACTGAGCTGCTCTTATGGTGTAGTAATGGCAACAAGCTTGAAAATTGTAAACCCCAAGTCATTCTTTTCAAAATCTGTTTTGGAGTCCTAATGAGAGAGTTTACCATTATTCCTTCATTACAAGCGGATGACTAACGTTCTAAGGGAATTTGTAGTTTTTCGATCACATGCTGTAAACTCTTTCAATGGTACAAGTGAGATATTGAAGCCCCATCAGGAAAGATGATGTTCTTGTGTTTTTTTTGTTGTTGTCGTTGTTGTTCCCCCCCCCGGCCCCCCATTAGCTTCTGGCACAATGAATGGGCTGGTGTGAGGAGATGCACAGCAATTCATCAGCAGCTTTGCTATCCTTTGTATGTAACTTAAACATGTTATGCTACCTTTCTTTACTGCAGATGCTTCGGATGAAGAAGGGCTGGAGGCAGATTTGTCTTTCATTGGTTCCCATGCTTTTGCCCGTATGGAGGGAGATGTTGATAAACAGAGGCGCCTCATCCTGCAGGGGCAGTTGTCAGAGGCGGCATTGCAAAAACAGCATCAGAGGAAGTGAGGATTTTGTTTTGTTTTTGTTTTTTGTGTCTGTGAATGTCTTGGGTTACCTAGCTGCTCAAAGAATGTGATCATTTGTTACTATGAAGTCTGATCTGGCAAGGGAATATAGGTAAAGCCTATTATCACCGGTAGCTCAGTAGCAGCACCTTTGGAGAGAAGGAAAGGGCAACAGAAGGAAAAAAGAAGTCAGTGACCAAGCTCTTAGTGTGACCAGTAGATGGGACAAGCTGCTTTGTCTGCCACAAGATGTCACTGTTTCACCATTACTTTTTTGCAATAGGTTCACGTGCTTCTAAGTGCTGCCTTTAGGCCTTGTGCCGCCTGATACTCTGGATACCTAACAAATTGTTTTTCACATCTCTCAAACTGGATAAATACAGGAATGTTGAGGCTTTTTTTTGTAGCTGTTACCATTGAGCCTACTGTATGTGATTGCTTTTCTTGGAGCCAGTTTCATGCTAAAGTTTTCTTGGGGTACGATGCTTGACTTGTGTTGTCTGTTGAGGCAATATATGTGTGTGTGTGTGTGTGTACACACACACACACACACACATATATATATATGCATAGATATAAAAATGTCTTGACGCTAAGTTATTTAACAGAAAAACAAATCTCAGATGTTTGCACCCAAATGCAATGCTTCCATAGTTGTATGCAAGAGATAAAATGAGTACCAGTTGCAGCACATTCATTGTCCCTGTTAAAAAAAAAAAAAAAAAAAAAAAAGTCAAGCATGTAAATAAAACACTCAAATGTGTTTTTGTTAGTTTTGCTGGTGGCATTTTGTGGGGGAGAAGGATTCCAGTATTCTAACACTTCTTTCTATATCAATTTGAAAGTGGCTCCATTGTTCAGAAGATCTCCATAATAGAGGATAGCTCAGTTGCTGAGAGCTGCTTTTGGCCTTCGCTTCTTATATATTCTCTTCAGACTTCTAATGCTGTTCCAAAGCGGAGTTAGATCTGACTTCAGATGTTTTTAACTTTCTAGTTACAATCGTTGGCTGTGTCAGGCAAGAGCTGAAGATCTATCTGATATTGCTTCCCTTAAAGCCTTGTATCAGACAGGTAAGTTCAGGTTATTGATGGTTGATGTGCATTGTCTTAAAGAAAAAATACGAAGTAAAAATCCAATTTCTTTGGTCTCCGAGTACAACAACGCACGTCATCAAGCTAGAAACCTGGCTGAAAATGAGGCAACATCTCTGCAGTAAAACAGGTGTTTTCTCTTGATTGGCTTTGAAAACTGTGCAGTTAACTCAGAAACAGATCCTAGTAACAGTTGGAGAGTACACGCATATCCTGAATTTACCTATGGAATGTGACCAGTAACAGGTTGAGGAGAATGAAGTAGGTGTGCATGGGAGAAGGGGAGGGGGGGAAGTCACCACCAACAAAACAAACAGTGGTATTGTGGTTAGTGTTTGGTAGTGACATAGCAGGAGCATCACAGCTTTGCTTTTCTGTGCCTAAGGACTTTATTGCTAGCAACTTCAGTGGTTGTGAATCAGTATTGTTAGATGAAGCCAATTTATTAGGTGTTGTATACAAGGTAATATTGCATGCAAGATAATTGATCTCTTGGCCTGATTTATCTCTACTCTTTTGCTACAAAAAAAATGAGTGTTGCTTTCAAATGATTTATAGAGAAGCCAAAGTTAACAAAGCAACTTTTAATACAGCTTTTTTGCATAAAGCTGCTTGCTGCTTTTCCCTCAGACTAGACTGGGTTTCATTTGCTCTCCTCCATGTCTGATGGAACCTACTAATGGTACAGTACCATGGGCAGTATCTCCTTTAACCTTGCGTTAAGTTAATGGTAACAATAGGGAGAGAATCAACATGCTGTTTAAAAGTTCCTTGGAACATATTGCCTCCTAGGTTTTTCCAGGGAAGCAGTGTGTCAGGTGACCTGTCCACTTCCATTCTCTTTTGGTCTCTAGGTAGTGGTGAAATCAGAAGCTTGTCTTGGTCCCAGGGGCTTATTGCTGCTCTGCACAGTGATGGGAAGAAATAAGTCAGTACTAAAGGTCTCAAAAGCATAGTTTTGTTTATGACTCGCTCCACAGAGCAAGACAATTAAGCACTCTAGCTTATATCTCTGGCTTCCTGAAAATCCAGACACCTTGATCTTTGTGCAGCTATTGAGGCTGTGTGATACCTTGCAGTTGGTAGTTGCGAATTTAAATACTCCTGCTGGTTTTGGACAAGGCTCTGTTTGGCTGCACTTGGTCCATAAGGGGTGCCATGTGAAAGCATGTGTCCGACTTCTGAGCTAGATTTCTAGAAATAAGTTTATTCTGATGGTAGAACTGCAAAAAAAAAAAAAGGTTTTTGAAAATAAAAATGTTTTCACCGACAATTATTACTTGAGAATAAAGTATTTTGGTAAAGGCAACTGTGGAGTGCACGCATTGGAGTAAATGTGGAGTTTACTTGAGGTAATTGTGGAGTACACAGTCAATGTAATATTGCAGTTCTTAAATTTTAAGTTTCTAGGATGGGATGCATCCTTTGTTTTGACGATCAAAACAACTACTGATACAGAAAGAACAGGAAATGTAGCATATTTTTTCTCAAGTTGGAAATGGGCTGCGCTGTAAAATTTCTGAGCTACGAGTTATCTTATTTTTTGTTTTGTAGGTGTGGATAACTGTGGTCGCACGGTTATGGTAGTTGTTGGAAGGAATATTCCTATAACATTGATAGACATGGAAAAGGTAAGATTTTGTAAAACTTCAGCACCATGTAGTTTAAATATGAATGTTTGGGACATGGAAGTCTAACATAACTTACATTCAGTGTTGATCCTAGAAAAGTTATCTGTAGGAGACATGCCATAAGAATAAATAGGAACTATTTTTTTAGGCAGATCAAACTTTATTCTTCTATAAAGCTTTGTGTGCGTTGGGGCAGCATTTCTGCAGGAGGAACTGAGTTATTTTTAGAGAAACAGGCCTAATAGTATCTTTTTGCTTCTCGAGGAGGGGTAAAAACCTTGCCATGGTTCTGTAACTGGAGAGTAACTAACCAAATGGTTTTTTGTTTGTTTTTTTTTGTTTGTTTTTTTTCCATGAAAGCAATAGGAAGACTTTACATCTGTGAAGTCAGGTCCATGTAAAGGAATACCTAATTGATTATGGTCAAGTTCAAAATTTTGAATGTTTTCCTTATTTTTGTAGCTCAAACAAAATGTTACCCAGGCTTATCATTGTAAATCATGAGTAAAAGGAAGCATATTAAAATGTAATGTCATCATGAAAGCGTTCTTTGTTGCCAATATGAACTTCACTTCTTTCCAACTCAGGCTATTCTGTATTTCATCCATGTCATGGATCATATTGCAGTGAAGGAGTATGTTCTGGTGTACTTCCATACGCTCACAAATGATTACAATCAACTAGACTCTAATTTCTTGAAGAAACTCTATGATATTGTTGATATCAAGTGAGTGGCAGTAGAGAGCGGGGTGGGGGGAAGATCTTTTTTTCTTCTGTGCTCTGTAAATGTTTAAGTCATTCTCTTTTTTTTTTTTTTTTTTTTTTTTTTTTGGTGGTATCTCATTGATTTGTGCAAGACCAAGAAGGAAGGGCAGTTTTATTTCCAGTGTAGAACCATATATCAAACCAAAGAGTGCTATCCCCTGCAGTCTCCCTTCTGTAACTATTGGGGAAATGACCCTACTGGCTGTATCGCCTGTCTGTTTCTAAAATTATAGCTTTTGGAACATGGCTTTGTAAGCATTTATGTTGCTTGTTGTGAGAGAAGAGACTTGGGTAACACTGATAGTCGTAAGTCTATAACTTTCACTGTTCACATAATAGACTGCAGCAAGTTTTATCCTTAGCTGTGGGTTTTATAATTTATGTGTTTGTTGTACTTTTCTGCCATGTACTGTAAGGTATGAGCCAGCTTTAAGTGCAGAATAACAAAAAAGGCGTTTAAGCAAAATGACGTATGTTTTGATAGTTGTGTTATATAGGTGAGCTTAGTTAGAAGACTAATGACTTTGTGTGTGTGGTTTCTATTTTTGTTTTCTTTCTTTCTTTGAATCAGGTACAAGAGGAACTTGAAGGCACTGTATTTTGTCCATCCATCATTTCGTTCAAAGGTGAAGTAATGCACAAAAGAAAAGAATGTTTGGGGTCTTGGCAAGATAGCACGGGGAACATGGAAGTCTTCCATATACACCCAAAACTGGATGGTATTTTCTGGAACAAGAGTTGGAACTTGAAATTCATCCCCATTTTTGATGTAGCTGTAGTGTTACAGTTTTAGTGACAAGCTGTGCAACAGCACAGCTGTTTCCTGATTTGTTTCATGTGTTCTTTAGATCTCATTTCTTTGAAAGAGAAATATTTCTTTTGTGTGTGTGCTTTCTCCTGCTGTCTGGCAGATGATAAAGACTTCTGGAATTCCTGTAGACCATTTTCATGGATGTTAAAGTTTTCATGTAGTTCATTACCTGGTTATTTCACCTTTTCTATCCCAACAACAGGTGTTGCATGTGTCTTCCATACCAGTTAGTGAGCTGCCCTGGTAAGGCAGAGAATAGTGTATCAGGCAGCAATGAGAACAAAGTAAAATTTGTGATGTGGCTTTGTGATGTGGGGTGCAAGAAGACCCTGTCAAGCATTTAGGAGATGAAAAGATTAACTTGTTGAACAGCAATTTGTTATCCTTGGCTATGATCTGTTTGGAGGAACAGAAGATGAAGCTCTTTCTTCCATACTTTGCATCAATATGAGTACTTCAGATGAAGCAAGTGTCAGCTGCAGCCCTCACCAAATCTTTGTCCTTTCTTTTCAATGGCAGAAATGTGATCGTCCATTTTCATGTCAGTTTAACCTCTGTGTTTATTGTGCTTTTTTGCTAACAGCAAATTGTTTGCCTTGAACAAAAACTTCACTTTGCATGTGTTCAGCAGGGATTTCTTTAACTGCTAAATTTTCAGAGATTCCATTTTTGCTCTGTATGCTCACATCTGGGACACTGTGAGACTTCGAGCTTCCTTGTTTTTATGTAGATGATACTGAGGCTTCCTAACAGTGTATCATCCAGTTTCTGTCAGAATATTAGTTATTCCCATAGCATACTTGTCTGAGGTTTAATTGGTAGAGTTAGAGCTTCTAGCTTATGTGCTTTTGGAAATCTAGGAACTGACATCAAAAAAATTACTTGCATTACAAAGTTGAGTACTCAGAAGCTAGGAAATACTTGTATTCTAGCTTCCCAACAGCGCTTTATCCTCTTTCTCTCTTCCCATGCAAGAATGCTTTATTTCTATTTGGCTGGAAAATGTTTAATGTTGAGGATGAAAACTCATGTTCACCAGCTCCTTGCCATGATCTTTGTCCCTTAGAGGAAGGCAAGGAAACTTGGCATATTTTTGGAGGGAAGCAGGGAGTGTCAGAGTCAGAGGCCCCAACTTGCTGGAAACAAATTTGGTTTGTATCTAGCAGTACAGCTGGGAGCAAAAGAGAATGTATGTCCATGTCTCTCAGCCAAGCCTTTTCTTGAACTGAAAGGCAAGTGGGATTGTTACTGACTGTTGCAGGGACATTATGAAATGTGATGAGGGATATGCAGCAGAAAGTCCAGGTGTATAAGGTGACCACAAGAGGGGATGATTTTTACCACCACTCTTCTTGGCCATTTTAGGGCCATTGGTCCTGTGAAACTGTCCTGAGTGCAGCTTATTGTATTTTCAATGCAGTAAGCACTAACAAAGTTTTTTTTTTTTTTTTTTTTTTTTTTTTTTTTTTTTTTGTTACAGGATAAACTGTCTCAAATTGAGTAATACTGAGAGAGGAAAATCTCCATTCCTGTTGTTAAATCAAAAAATTTTCCCAATACCCTCAAATATATTATCCGGGTTCCTATTAGGATTTTGTATACTGAACATCCATAATAACTATGCTTCATATTTGTCATGCCTTGGAATAAGGACTGCTTCAATACAGGATTGCAAGTGTGTTTTCTGGTTTAAAAACTCATTAAAATGAAGGACTGAGTGTTGCTTATGATCAGAGGTCTTGTTAGAAACCAACAGTATTAGTGGATTCCAATAATAGTTTCTGCTAACATGATATGTCCTTAAAATAAAGAAACCATCTTAAACTTTTTATCCTACTTTCCACCTCATTTTCTCTTTTTTTTTTTTTTCTTGTTTCTTCCTCATGAAAATATACCATTTTGAGGAAACAGCATAGTTATTCCAGAACAATTTAAGCATCTACCTTTTGTTTAAATATCATAGTTGTATGGATCACTTTTTGATTTAATATTTGGGCTTATTTTCATGGGAGGGATTTCAAAAAAGTGGCAATTCCCACTTTCCTCAACATTCTTCTTGCAATATTTTTTCTCTTCTGGTAGCTTGCTACAGCCAGCATACAATTGTGCCTGCTTAGAAACACTTCCACCTGTGTGATAAAATGCCAGATTCTGGTCAAAGAACATAAATAAGCAAAAGTTTTCTCTAGCAAAAATTTCACAAAAATGTAAAAGGAAGTTATAAGTCTCTCTCTTTTTCTAAGATCTGTATCTTCTTAAAAAATTGCAGTCCTGGTAAGTACTTTAGGATCTTTCAGTATTTCCTGCTTCTCTTTTCTCCAAGATGAGCAATCTCGATATATATTAGCCACTCTTGGAGTGGCTGCTCCAAGATTACTTTATAACTTGGCAGGTGGGAAGGCATTCTTATGCTGATATAAAACCTTAAACAACATAAGAAAAATGACTGAAATTACTGTAAGGATGAATGAAACTCTTATTAGGGTGGAAAGATTTTATTCCAATTCCTTCAAGGTTTTTTTTTTTTCTTTCCTTTTCTGGAGTCTGATTATCAGGGCAATCCTCATGTTGTATGCTGACTCTCCATTGTGCTCAGATATTTCAGTGTATAGAGTTTTGCGCTCCCTGCCATGGCACTCTTTGCCATCTCTCTACTTTCTATCTGATTGTCCTTTGTGTTGCTCTGACTCAGATGAGCAAAATATAGGCATTCTACAGTAAGCACGCAGCCTTGAGGAAGTGGGTATGGTGCTTGTTAGGTCAACAAGTATCTCTTCAGTCTTCTCTCTCTGATATTTTTTTTGCTTGCTTTGTTTTGTTCATAATTTTTTTGTCCAGTATGGCATGAGTTGCATTTTCGGTTTTGCTGTATACCTTTGTTCTGACATTTTGGGCATCTTTCCCAAGATAGAGCTAAAGTTAACATTGTTTTCCATGAATTTTTTCAATGGAGTTTGTCCCATGCCCTTTGTTTCAGATAGCTTTAGAGAATGTGAGCAGATCATCCCTTCTTCTTATGTCTGTTCTGTGTTGCCTGCTTTTAGACACTTAGTTTAGTCTGTAGTGTTTTTGCTGTCTGGATGTTGCAGAACATAATCTTTCTCACGGCCATGCTCAGCAAGAGGTGCATTTTCCAGGACGTTGAATGCATCGTTGTATCTGACCCACGGTCATCTTTCTCTGGAGAACTGAACTATCCTTGTATCTGATTATGTGAAGCCTAGATTGAGGCTCTTCTCCTGACTGTTGTTGCTCTGTTGAATGGTCTCCCAGTTTCGAGTGCATCATGCATTTCTCCATCCAGTAGCGATGTTCTTCAAGAGAGTTTTCTGTGTGAAGTTTAGTAACTTTTCTGTGCAGAGGTATATTGGGATTTCAGAGTGCAATAAATGGGAATATTTTTTTTGCTCCATGTTAACATGGCACCTAAAGAGTTTGTTAGTAATTGGCAAGTTCAGTTTCCATTATTTGAGAATAAACTGACTTCTATCAGCCCAAATCTGAAAAATTCAGAGTGACTGTGGGCCCTGTTTTACAGGCTCCTAAACCCTGATCTGAGCACTTGAGACCTGCAGAATAGTAACCTCTGGCTATTGCAAAGGTCTGTGTTTGTCAGCTTCTTCAGTCTGCCAGAAGTAGGCTAGAAGAGAAATGAAGAGGTGATACAGCCTTCAATTTTACAGAAGGCTTTTAAACATAGAAGTTTGTGTAATCAATTTAGTAAGTAATATTTAGCAATTTCCAGAAGTATTAATGGTGTTTTACTGGCCTTTACAAAGCAAAAATTCCTTGATCCATTGTCACCTGAAGGAGACAAAGTATATATACTTAAAGGAAAATCCTATACAGTAAGTTGATAAGGCCAACCATTCTGGTCATTTAAGAAATTTGGTAGAACAGAAGAAGAGACATGTGTGTACATGTACTGTACCAACCCAAAGTAGAAAGGAGATTTCAGTAGGAGCCTGAAACAGCTGAACATCTTACACCTTAGAATTGATTTTTCTGTAAAAATTTGAAGGCAGAGAGTTGAAAGTGCTTCTATTTAGATATAAAGTCAAATAGATTGTACTCTGAACTGACTAAACTGGAAGTGAAAATTTGCCGCTCTGCAGACTTTTGAAGACAAATACAGCAGAATAGCTGCCACTTTTGGAACTAGCACTAGCTTTAAAGCTTAAAAAACAGTGCTTGCCATTGGTCACTGATATGCATTTCCTTGTTCTTGCCACGATATCAGAACTTCAAATTTAACTTCCAGCCTGTTTAACTATAGAATATAATGCTGAACTTGAAGGTTCTAAAACAGCACCATCATAATGAATTTTTGTTGGGATTGGGGGTTTATTTCCAGGTCTCGGCATGGTTTTTCACAACCTTCACCATCTCAGGGCTAAAGGACAAAATCCACTATGTGGAAAGCCTTCAGCAGTTATTCACCGCCATACCCCCAGAGCAGATTGATCTGCCTCCTTTTGTCCTTGAGTATGATGCAAGGGTAAGTGATTTCCTGTAGCAATCTCTGCTCCCAAGTGTAGTTATTGTGTGTCTCCCATTCTAACCTGCAAGAACTTGAAAGGGGCTTGGCTTCTGTACCTTATGAAAGGGGAGAAGAGGAAGATTTCTGGAGAATATAACTGTTCTTCTGTGAGTAACAATTTTCTTATTGTTTTCTTATTTAAAAAAAAAATTAGTTCAGGTAAAGGTTTTGGCCAAGAAGCAGACTTATTTCCCAATAGAACAGCTCCTTTGAACATAAGAATAAATTACATTATTCTTCAGCAAGAAGCTGTATCATAACATGCTGAGAGCTAGCAGACAAGATACAATTAATGTTACCAGATAAGACTAGTTTGGGAGCATATATCAAGATACAGTCAGCATGGATTCACCAAGGGGAAGTCATGTTTGACAAACCTGATAGCCTTCTATGATGAGATGACTGGCTGGATGGACAGTGGGAGACACCCGTGTATGTTGTCTATCTTGACTTCAGCAAGGCTTTCAACACAGTTTCCCATAACATAGGAAAGCTCTGGAAGTGTGGCTTGGATAAGTGGACAGTGAGGTGGATTGAGAACTGGCTGGATGGCAGAGCTCAGAGGGCGTGATAAGCGGGGCTGAATCTGGTTGGACGGTTGTGGCCATTGGTGTCCCCCAGAGGTCTGTATTGGGTCCAGTGCTCATCAACTTGTTCATCAATGACTTGGATAAGGGGACAGAGTGCACCCTGGCAAGTTTGCAGATGATACAAACTGGGTGGAGTGGCTGACACTCCAGAGGGCTGTGCTGCCATTCAGAGAGACTGGACAGCTCATGGAGAATTGGGCAGAAAAACTCATGAGGTTCAACAAGGACAAGTGCAGGGTCCTTCACCTGGGGAGGAATAACCCTGGACACCAGTACAGATTAGGGGTTGAACTGCTGGAAAGCGGCTCTGTAGAGAAGGATTTGGGAGTCCTGGTTGACAAGTTAACCACGAGTCAGCAATGTGCCCTCATAGCCAAGAAGGCCAATGGGGTCCTGGCCTGCAGGTGGAGGGAGGTGATCCTGCCGCTCCCCTCAGCTCTGGTGAGGCCACACCCAGAGTACTGGGTGCAGTTCTGGGCTCCCCAGAACAAGGGGGGTGTGGAGCTTCTAGAGACAGTCCCATGTAGAGCGACAAAGATGATTAAGGGACTAGAGCATCTATTGTATGAAGAAAGACTAAGCGAGCTGGGCCTGTTCAGTCTGGAGAAGAGAAGACTGAGAGGAGATCTGATCAATATGTGTAAATACCTAAGGGGAGAATGTAGGGAGAATGGGGCCACTGGTTATAGCCAGGACAGGACGAGGACAAGGGGTAATGGGTACAAGTTGGAACACAGGAAGTTCCATCTCCATATGAGGAAGAACTTCTTGACTGTGAGGGTGACAGAGCCCTGGAACAGGCTGCTCAGGTTGTGGAGTCTGCTTCTCTGGAGATCTTCAAAACTCACCTAGCTGCGACCCTGTGCCCACATGCTCTAGGTATCCCTGATTGAGCAGAGGGGTTGGACTTGATGATCTCTAGAGGTCCATTCCAACCTTAACTAAGCATTCTGTGAAGATGCAGTATATATCTTGCGTTACAATGCATGTTGCTAACATCAGATATAGGGACTCTGGTTCCACACCTCTGTAGTTAAAATAAGGTTCAGCAAATCTGAAGCTGAAGCATCTCTTTGGTCTCAATTGAATGGTGAAAAATGGCTGGATTCTCAGCTATTGCACTGAAGCAGCTTCATCTATGCCAGCTTTAAGGAACAGATGCCGAATTAGCCCCTTGCCTTGTAGCATCTCTCAGCTCTCAGTTGTCAATGACGATACTTCTGTGATTATTCTGGCTGTGGGGAAACCTCTACAATCTGAGCCCCAATAGCAATCCTTCTAGGGGCAGGTATCCGCCTTTCTTCTTCCCATATCAACAAATACAAAAAAAGGAGGGGAACGGGAGAAAGAAAAATGTGACTGTTGACTAGTGCCTGGCCTCTGTGTTGGTCCCTCTTTTTTCTGCCCAAATGGTGGGAGAAATATGGCTTGCATTGTCAAATCAGTCCAAAGAGGGCATGCTCTGGCTACAGAGCAACAGCCAGAGCCATTGCCTGTCTGCACGGGTGACTTTGTCTTGAACAGAGTGGCCATGCAAGCACCTGTGGCTTCCATGCATCATAGCTTTGGCTTAATAGCAAAATTTCAACCTGTACCCTCTGCTTAAAATGGAAATGAAACCAAAGCCCTGCCAGGTTACCAGGATCAGTCCTCTCTTGGTTGAGTTATGACTGTTGCTATTCATGGTAAAAGTCAGAAATACTCATTTATTTATGCATGTGTATGATTCATCCATTGCATCAACATGTGTTGGAGAAGACAAAAATTTGATCAATTCATCATTCTGTTTTTGTTGTTGTTGTTTGTTTTTGTTTTGTTTTTCAGGAAAATGGGCCTTACTATTCCTCTTATCCTCCATCTCCTGACTTGTGATCTGCAGCCCTGCAATACTGCTGGTTTCCCATGGATCCATAATCTAATGCCTGCCAATATCATGTGCATTTGCTCATGTACAGAATTCAGAGAGAGGGTTTTCCCTCCCCAGCTCTGATATTTTTTTACTGAGATATTTTCAAGCACTCAAGCAATCAGAGAACTTTATGCCACTGTGAACTGTACAATTATTTCAAATATATTTATCTAATGAAAAGGTTGATTTCAGGATCACCAAGTGCATTTTATTTTCTTTCTTTCTTTTTTTTTTTTTTTTTGGAAAGTGTTATGTTTTATTCCTGAATAGACTTACTCTTTTCTGGGAAATCCATCAAAAACATTTGGTCATGTTTTTATCTAGTATTATGATTTTCCAGCTCCATTTGTAATACCCATTTTTGACTGGTCTGTATAAATGTACAGTACCTACCAGCCTGACATGTTGCTCATCATACGGTCTCTGTGCTTCCTATCTGATGATTTCCCTTTCTGTTGCTGATTTCTCTGGTCTTGACCCAGCAGAAGTATCTGGCATTGGGAATACCACTTCTGCAGGCTGAACAAAGCACTACAGCCAAGCATAGATTACTGCAACACTTCAAGTGCTAGGTGAGCTAGGAGCCTGATAACAGTCCCTGTCAGTTTTCCTTAGATGATGTGACATGTCAGGATTCCACTACCCTCCAAATAAGAATAAAATTTTAAAAACACTTGCATCTGCTTTTCTCTGACTGTATTCATTTAGATTCTCCTTTGAAATGACCATATGTGACCACAATGAAAGATGGGCCATACCATGTATCCTTTCTTTCCTACCTTGACCTCCTTTTGGCTTAGTATTACATTCATACTCCAAATGCCCTCAGCTAGTATATCAGTTACTTAAATCCCAGTCTAGTGATTATGTTCTTCTGTATCTTGCATATACAACTTAAAAGTGATACTGCTTTTTAAACATTCACTGGGTTCTTTATGTGGTTCCAAGGTGCTGCTAAAGGTTTGAAACTGTAGTATGATGGAAAGCAACCTCAGTGTTAATGCTTGGAAGCGTTGACCTTTGTGATCTATACCTATGTGCTTCTTTCAACGCTTATCTGTTGTTTTCCCTTGAGAAAAGGAAATAATAGCAGTCTGTATAGGGCAGCTACCATGTGTCCCAACCTCTTTGCTGCCCTTGGCTAGTGACTGTTTCACAGCCAGCAGTGAATTTTCCATGCTTCTCTATTGATTTGTATAGCTTGATACCCACATCCACCATCTGCTGTTTTTCACATCTGCAAGGCTTTTGCAAAAGAGCTAATGTCCGCTTAATAGGCAGATTAAAGGTGATTCAGAGCATATTGTGGAAACAGAGCAGTCTTTCAGCTTCATCAGCTTGTAGCTAATTTCTGTCCCCTTACCTCCCAGATGGCTCAGAATCATAAAAACAGAACATTTTTTGGACTTAGGACTCTGCACGTTTTTCAGTCCTAGTCTAGTCATTTTAAGATATGTGGGTCAATGAAGTGTGAATCTGCCCCTACAGCATTTGCAAGACAAAAAAAGGGGGGGGGGGGGAGGGAGGGAGGAGATCTTGGCAGTGAGCTTGTGTATTTTTCTCCTGAAAGACTTAGCTTAAAAAAAAGTAGAAAAATCCAAGTCCTACAAATCTCAGTGCCAAGACAGACCTGCCTTGTGCTGTAAAGATCGGCATTTTCCAGTGAGTCAGGAGTCATGGCAATTTACCAATTTCTTTTTTATAGGAGGCTTTTAAGAAATAATATGCCAGTGGGGGAAAAAGATCAGTAAAATGCGCAGGGAACTCATTGCTATTGAAAAGTTGCATTGTATCAATTCAGTAGGCAAATTTTTGCTTTGAAACAGATGAACTGTATTTGTTTTAGACTGAGATGAACATTGGCATACCATAGCTAAGAGTGGATACAAGCTTTTATCTTAAAGAGGCCAGGGAGGTAGTTCGTGCATGCCATAAATCGGTGAGAGTTTTAACAGCCCCATCCCTCTGGAGTCACTGAGGAATTAAAAGTTCTGGTATCACCATATGGAGGCTCAGAAGGGGGGGCTCTGGAGGGAAGTGTTAACAGCTAGCAGAGTTGTGTGAGTGTAGTTATTGCCGCTTTGACACCCTGTATGATGTTCATGTTGGAGTAGCATAGTCATTGTCAGTGAATGTCATGCAGTGCTTTGGCCTTGCTATTCAATACGTCTCTCCTGGAAGTGCCCTGTATCCCCTTATTGACAGATCAATTTGTTAAGAGCTAGGTTGTGTTTAGGTGATGTTTGATGGTGAACAGATGATTCTGTCAGTGTGGTTTCAGTTACCTGCTGTTACTTGGTTAAGGCAGGTTTGGATGCCCAGGCTGTGAAAGATGAAGTATCTAATGACTGCTTCTGATCCTCCTGTTGCATTATGTGTTTGAGTTTTTAATTAGACACTTGGGAATGGGAGGTGTCAAAAAGGTGTAGGCACAGTGAAAATAATCAGCTTTCTATAGGTGCTTGAGCTTGTATGAGTCTGCCACATACACTTGAAACTGAGTTCTTTTTCCTATCTTTTCTTGCTGTCCAGATCCTAGAATAAAAACCATCTCTTAAATTTTTCTGTAATCTGCTTTTCTCCAACAGTAGCCCAAAACCCTGGTTGTTCTATTATACATGCCTCTTGCCTCATCTTTGTGCTCATTTAGACCCTCTCCCTAATCTGACCGTGAGCACTTACATAGGTGTAGTGCTGCAAAGGATTAGCATCCAACTGCTAATACCAGCAAATTAATTTGGATGCTCTGCTGTTCAAGAAGCTGATATCAATTCCTCTTCTGTGTTGAACTAAAAAAATATGTATATATGTTGTCCCCTTTCCTTGGCCTCTCTGGGATTAATCTCCTATTACAGCTGTGAACAAGCAACAGAATGAATAATCCAAATCTGCAATTTTGCACTAATATGTGTATTACAGAAATTCCTGCCTATGTTGATTCTTGCTAAATTGGACCTGAGCATAGTGATTTCTGTCAGCAAGGGGAGTCTTGGGAGAGAAAGGGAAGGAGCAGAAGTGTGTCTGCGTTGAAGGTGTAGGATGAAAAGAAGCGTACTTGGAACAACTCAAGTTGTGATCTTCCAGTGCCAAGGAATACACTCATACCTAGCCTACATTCTTATATATGCTTTCCATTCTTTTCAACCTTCCATGGAGCAGGACTCGGTCCTCACTAGGGGAATAAATGACCGAGCAACTGGACCAGCAAAGTGCAGCCTCTTCACAAGCATGAGATTAGGATGTTGTTGAGCTAAATCAGCCCCAGGCTACACTAGAGCAGAGAGAGACGGGAGAAAATGCTATACAATGACATCTCCTTTCAAAATTGAATGAGAAAGATGTCTTATGCTTCAATAGTAGGATACAGAGCTCTCTTAGCTTGTAGGCTTAAAACTAAAGCAAAGTTCATAGGTGATGAAGAGGGAACTCCATCTTTGGCTGCAGAGATGATGGAGACCTTACCTTCGGGAGAAAGGTAGAAATGTGGTGCAGAGGTTAAGGAGGACAGAGATTAAAATGCTGTAACTCCAGGTCCTTTGCACAATGGAGTCTGACTCCTGTGAACACAAGGTGGATTTCTAAGGGGTATTCAACTACTTGACTATAAAATCTCTCTTAAATATTTTAAATGAAAAAAAACTCATAACATGGATAACTGAAAAATGCCAAGATTCCTAATGCAGTGTAGGCATAGCTATAGGGGAGGTGGCTTTGCTTGGAAGGACATTATGTACAAAATGAGGGGAAGGGGATTGTATCAGATGATCTGCAGCTGTCTGGCTGCCAGCACAGCATCTGTTTTTAATGGGCTAATCAGATCTTGTTTGAAGTTTTTTCAGCTGTGCTTCCCTTGAAAGCCCAGTTCCTTGGTCAGATGAGGCAGGGCTGTTTGTGATTATAGTGCATTTAGAATAAGAGAAGCAAAAATCAAAATGGTTTGCATACTCAACACTTTCACCAAAATGTTACAAGAAGAAGCTTTTATCTCTAGCAAAGATGTTGTAGGCAGCAGAGTTTCTTCTTTCCCCTGCACTATTACGTTTTCCCATTTTTGAGGGGGAGGGAGGGGCAGAGGAAGAGGATGGTTATTCCTGTACTATGAAAAGAAGACTGAGTCCCTGAGGCATCAAGAAACACACCAGTATTCTCCTCTAACTCTGCGAAGAGCATAATCTCTGGCCTTTAGGAAGGTCCTGTAACTCCCTGAGAACCACCACAAATAGCAAACACTCTAAGCAAGGCTCAGCAGGATTGCTCAGCTCTTCAGAAAGCTGTGAGAAACTTTTTTAAAGTAATTGAGAAGGAGAATAACTGATTCGATCACCATGTTTTTAATAAAGCCCGGGAGTGATGTACTACTCTGCAACTGCATTGCCTGTCATAGCAGTACCCACTCTGCTGTGCACACCATTGCACCAGACATCCCATATCATGCATCTTTTCCCTGTAAGAACCTGTGCACCTGATACCCTCACAAAGCAGGCTGTGGGGCATGGCTTTTGGCTGGGAGGGTCTTTGTGCATAATAAATAAACCTGTCACAAAGACACAGCATCTCTGGTTAGTCAGTGTCAGTGACCTGCTGGTTCACCAAAGGCCTGGAGGGGAAGTTTGAATATAGTGCTGCAGTGCTGATCTGAGATACCTGAGCTATGAATAGGGTGGTTTATAGGTGCACTCTGGTTTCCATCATGGCATTGTGAGCCGTAGCAAGCTCACTACATAACAAAACCCAGTAGGTACATCAGCATACAGCTGTCCTGAACTCAGTTTGGGTGCCCGTCCCAAAATATCAGATGTGCCAAGGTTCATCTGTCTGGTTTAGCTTGCCAAAAGTTTCTAGAAAGAGCCAATTGCAAACTATATTTCTCTTTCTCACCAAAATGTTTGCACAATAAAGAGCTCTCATCTTACAAGGTTTAAAAGTTTAATAGCAGGAGTTGAGTCATGTAACTACCTGGAGTCACTTAGGCATTGCTAATCATTTGGCAGGAAGGGACATATTTACATCATCTGAACAGATTTGCTTATTCACAAGTAAAATGGTATTATCTGCTAGAGAAGGGCATGCCAAACGTGTCTTTGCATATCTAAGATTAACACCATCAAAACACCATCACAAGAGCAGGGAAGATACAATGTGACCCCCTTGACTAAATTAGCAGTGATAATAAAGGCAATACTTGCATGGGTTTGATTAGTTGTACTCATCTTCTGGCTCACCA